CCTTATCTTGCATCGTTTTAGTTGTTTGATTTTTAGTTTCTTTAATTTCGTCTTCATCATTATTGTCGATTCCTTCATTTTCTTCACGTTATCTATACTGATGGCTAACTTTAAAACTTCGGGATGGTTTACTACCCACTTAGCAGCTTCGAACTCATCAGATGAATTATATAGCATTGTAAAAGTTTCTTGAGGAAAATTATGCCTTTCAAAATCATTTTCATTGTCTATCAGAATGTTGCAAAGTTATCAATATGTAGCTTTAGATTGTGTTATATTAAAACAAACAATTTTTACCCTTATATAATGTTTTTGTTGAAGTTATAATTTCTATACTTATTGAATTCTCATCTGTAAAAGAAAGTGAAGATAGTGCCACCACAGTACCCTCGACTGTAGATTTTGAAGATGTTGCTGTACGTGAAGTCTTCTCACTTGATAATACTTTATCAGAATTATGAACTACACAACAAATAAGATATTATAAGTTCATCTAGTATATTCAAATTTGATCTATATAATATAAAAAGCATACCATTATTGACAGAATAATCTAAATCATCTAAAACTAAATATAATTAAAACATTAGATTATATTTAAGAAATTACCTAAATCACACATTATTTAATACATACCTGGTGCCTCTGCATAATTATTATCTTCTCCTAAATCGTTCTCTATTAAATCGTCCTTCCTTAAATCGGCATACATTAAATCGTCTTCCCTTAAATCGTCCTCTCTTAAATCATCATCCCTTGAATAAAACTCTCTGAAATCATCCTCTTCATCGTCCATAATTTCTTCAATTTGGTTTTCAATTTGTTGTTCTTTGGCATTCGTTTCAGAATCAACGTCTAGTAATATCACCAAAATTATTGTAAATTAAATGTGTATATATATGTTTTTATACTCACTTGCAATGATATTGATAAAGATATATTTAAAAAATAACATACTAATATAAGAACGTCTTCAAGTTCTAATTGGAGATACTTTTCTAATTGGGGCTACTTTTCTAACTGGAGTTATCTTTCTAACAGGTGTTGCTTTTCTAATAGATGTTGTTTTTTTAACAGGAGTTACTTTTTTAGAAGTGGTATGGACTTTCTTAGTAAAATCTGTAAAAAATTTTTTTATTATATTTAATAAAGAATTTCTAAGTGAAATTTTAAAAAGATTAATTTACTTGTTGATTTCTTTCGAGGCACCATAGTGATTTAGTAACGAAAAAAATCTTGCAAAAAGTAATGTATATATACCCTATTAGCTATATTAGAATATTGCAATAATATACACATCATCTTTTAAACTATTATTATGTGTAAATAATTTCTAGCTAATTAAACTATGTCACTTATATGATTTCTTTTGAGGAGCCATAGTAATTTAGTAACGAAAAAATTCTTGCAAAAAGTAATGTATATATATCTTATTAGCATATTGCAATAATATTACACATCATCTTTTAAATTATTATTATGTGTAAATTATTTCTAGCTAATTAAATTAGTCACTTAGATTCATATATACTTTTTATTTTTGAGATAAATTTTTAACAAATAACTAAAAAAAGAAATCTAGTTTTACTTAGTCTACTCTATGAAACGATCAAGCAGAACTTCCAATCCTTCTCGCTGTCTTGATGTTCTAAAATTACATAACAAACGACCTAAGAAGGATTTGTTTGTTCAAAAAAAATCACAAGAAATAAATGTAATGAATTTGGTGGACATGGAAATTTCTAAAGAAACTGATGACATTGAAATTGATGATACCGCAGATGAAGAACTTGAAGAAATTGAAGGAATCGACAATAATGATGAAGACGAAATTAAAGAAACTAAAAATCAAACAACTAAAACGATGCAAGATAAGG